AAGCATCGGGCGGCACTGGTCATCTCCGCAAGAACAGGTGCTCGCCCACACCCCGCCTACCCCCAATCAGACGCCGGCGCCGTGCAAACGCTGCCTGCCTGCCGCCCGCCGCCCCCAGGCCCGCCATGCTGGACAAGCTGAGCTCAGAGCTGCTGGCGCGCGTCCTGCGCCACGTGCTGCCGCCGCAGCAGGACGGGGCATCACCCTGGGACTGCTGGGGCAAGCTACGGCCGCTCCACGCAGCGCGGCTCGCATGCCGCGCGCTCGAGGTTGCCGCGCGCGAGCACCTGGCGACAGCGGTCAGGCTGACCCCGGGCAACACCTGGCGCAGTCAAGCGACGCCCGACTGGCGGCGCTTCCCTGCGCTACGCGCCGTGAGGGTCGAGGACTGGACTGTGCGGACTGCCTCTGACGCCGTGCAAAAAGAAGAGCAGCTGCTCCATCAGCAGGCGCTCGGCGCCTCCTTTGGCTACGCCCCTGCTGACGCCGGCCAGCTGCTTGATAGCTTCCACCCGGGGCACCTCTCCCGCATCACGGCGCTCGAAATTCGGCACAGCGACGTGTTTATGGACCACCTCGCTTCGGCGGTCGCGCGGCTGCCGGCGCTGAACGCAGTGGCCATAATCGGCCACGTGCGCTCAGTCAGTGAGGTGTGCCGCGCGCTCGCGCACGCCACGGGCCTCGAGCGGCTCATCTTGCCCGACGTGCCGGCCGGCGCCGCCCTCTGCGCAGCTGCCGGCCTCGACGGGCTGTCGTCGCTCGAGGCGCTGAGCTTGGGCAATATGACCTTGGCACCCGGCCCCCTGCCCCGCAGTGTCACAGCGGTTGCATTCAGCAGCAGCATTTCTGATCAGCCGGTCTGTGCGTCGCCTGTGCTTTTCGACACAGCCTCCCGCCTGGTCGAGCTGCGCGGCGTGCACCTCGAACTTGAGGCGGCGGCGGCGCTCGCGCGGTCGGCGCCGCGGCTGCGCCTGCTGGTCTGCACGCCAACAGGGGCCCCGTGGGCGCCGCCGCGCGCCGGCCCTTGGCCATGCGTGTTCCCTTGCCTCACGCACGCCTGCTTCACCAGTGAAGATGATATCTTCCCTGGAACGCAAGCCGAGATTAGAGCGGCCCCCCTGCCAGCCATGCCCGCTCTCCAGCACCTCGCCATCATCAATGTGTACCCCTACCCTGCCTTCTGCGGACTGACTGGAGTTCGGGCACTCTCGCTAGGCTACTTGGGGTTTGAATTGGAGGCAGCAGAGTGGGATGCGCTTGGGGCGCTGCCCCAGCTGACCGAGCTGGAGGTCAGCCTCGACCCACGGATACCTGAGCAGCTGTCCGGGCTCGGGCGGCTGAAGAGCGTAAGGGTGTTGAGTGTCAACATACTTGGTTTGGAACCTTTTGACGACCCCATTGACATGGGCGCTGTGCTCGGGGCCGTGGCCCGCCTACCACTGCTGCACACGGCGCGAGTCAAGGTGCAGTACGACAAAGAAGAAGACGATTGCATGCTGAAATGGGGCTGGGGTGGCCTCAGGCGATTTGCACACAGCGCCCCTGGACTTTGCAACTTGTCCATTTATATCGGGATATTAAGGGGCGTGCCGGCGTCGGTGGTTGCGGCCCTGGCCATGCACACGGGGCTGCGGCGCCTACTGATTTACGACTCACGTGAGGAGTTGGGCGCGTTGGAGGCGCTCGCGGCGGAGGTCCGGGAGGGATGCGGAACGCTGACCATTGACCCTTACAGCCCCTGCCCCGTTCAAGTATGCGCTTGGCGTGAGAACGGGTGGGCTGATGTGTGATGAGTAATACTGTCGGTGAGACGTCGGCGAAGTCATGCTTTTGCGTTGTGCCTTCGTGCCAGCAATCTGAGTTGATTCTGAGAGAGAGACATCTGGGATGGCAATGGGGGAGGGAAGGACCTGATGCGCATGTCTTGATCTGCTTGCCTGCTAGCTTGCAGTCAGGCTGCATGCATGTGCTTGCTTCTTGAATGGAGGGTGGGCACGCACATCTGGTGAGGCTAGGGCCACGGACTGACGGACTGCTGCATCACTCCTGTCAGTTGTTGCATAATGCGACCCTGCTGTGGCTGCTGCCAGTCGGCGCATCTGAAAGGGTTTTTTGCAGCCCCAGCTGGCTGTAGCCTCGATAGGGTGCCCGCAACTTCACATGTGACGCTACACCTGTCAGAACAGTTGCACTTCCAGATCAGCGCTGCATGGGGAGCCAGTAAGAACGCATATACACAGCACAGAACTGTTCAAATTGTTGAATCAATTCAAATGTGATGCGACCTCCACGGAGCGGACATGGGCAGCAGCGACAGTGGAGGCGTGATAAAACCTCCGCTGGGGGTTGCTGAGGGCCATAGGTGAGGTGAAGAAAGGCACGGACGTTTTATTAGAGTATAACACCTGATCTCCGTTCTAATCGCCAAACTCTTGTGCACAGTGTGCAGTGCTGCACCCACTGTATTTTTGCACCTAAAGGGTGCACGTGCTCAATTTCGCATGACGATATCGTAGTTTGAGCAATTACCTGCAGCAGTTCCAGCAGTTCTGTAGTGCAGGGTCAAGCTGCGTCAAAGCGATGGCTAGGCCATTTGCCTCGCAGGTGGATTTCAACGCACTTGCAATGCATGAAATGTCCATAAAGGCATGTTATGACGCAGCACTCCCTGCGCAGGCCCCATACAGCCCCGTGCGGTACCAGCCGGCGGACGCCGCGCCACGCGACCACCGGCAGCAGGGCAGCAGCATCTGGGGCCCGCCCGCTGCAGTCCCATCGCAGGCGGCTGGAGCGACGATTGCAAGCAGCATGCCTCCTGTAACAGGCGGCGACTGCACGGCGGCGGCGGTGAGCCGCGTCAAGGCCATGCTTGGTGAGCCGTGACATGCACGCGTGCGCGCGAGAAGGGCATCCCTGGATGCGGCTGCGCCGAGCGCACACCCTGCAGGTGCGCAGACACGCCTTTGGAAACCGCAGCGCTGACAAATTGTGCCCCTGCCAAAACCTCGTCGCGCCGCAGCTGGCTGGCAGCAACCGCCGGGTGCGGGCCGAGACGGGTCAGCCTCCCCGCACGCCCCGCAGCTGCTGCCCCCGCAACACCAGGCGCAACAGGGGCGCCGCTCAGCGGAAGCGCCCGCACTGGACACAGACGGCGGCCAGCCGGCGGCGGGCGCGCACGCCTATCCTGCGTCGCCCCAGAAGCTGTGGACGTGGCAGCCTCAATTCGTGGCTGCCGGCTGCGGCGGGGCGCCCCCTGCCGCCGCGAGCGGCGGCGGCGCCGGCGGATGCTCCGGCCGCGCCCCGCCCAGCCCAGCGGGCCGTGCACTGCAATGGAACCTGGGAGGTGGCGGCGGCGGCGGCGGAAGCGGCGGCGGCGCCGCGCCAGGCCGGGCCTGCGACAAGCAGCACGCGCCCTGGGCACCAAGCGACAGCTCCGCAGCCGCGCTCGCGTCGGCCGCAGCCGCGGCCACCGCCCGGCGCACCCCGGGCGGCGCAAGCGCAGGCACGGGCGCGGGGGGCTCTTACAGCGCCGCGTTTGCCGCGCGGACGCCATCTGCAGCGGTCGGCCTGCCGGCGAGCGACCACCGCGCAAGGGTGGCCATCACGCCCTCTGGCTACCCCGCCGCCGCGGCGCCGGCGCCCGCCTTGCCGGCGTATCAATACCAAGACGAGCAGCAAGACAATCGCTACCATCATCACGAGCAGCAGCAGCAGCAGCAGCAGCAGCAGCAGCAGCAGCAGCAGCAGCAGCACGCTGCCTACACTGATTATTGGAACGACGACAGGGGCAGCTCTGCTGACGCCGGCTCTGCACGCCCGGCGCGTGCGCAGCTGCACTGGAATGTGGGGCCGGCGTCGCCGCCGCGCTCGCCGCCAGTGTGGGGGCGTGTCGGACCCGCCATAGACGCCGGCGGCAGCGGAGCCGGCCTTTACTCTGGCTCGCCTGCGGCGCATGATGAGCGCACACAACACCGCCCTGATTACTACCACCAGCAGCAGCAGCAGCAGCAGTGGCAGCAGCAGCAGCAGCAGCAGCAGCAGCAGCAGCAGCAGCAGCAGCAGCAGCAGCAGCAGCAGCAGCAGCAGCAGCAGCATGGACTTCAATGGGGCTTTGCAGGCGCGCAGCCGCCCACAGCGCTTGCGCCCCGCACACGCAGCCGTGGCAGCAGCGACGGCGCCGAGTGGGACGCGGCGGCCGGCGGGTCGAGCGCGTCTGGCGCGCGGCCGCCGAGCCAGCAGCGGCTGGAGGGGCTGGGGCGCTTGAAGCGCCTGTCAACGCAGCGGCTCGCCACTCGCATTTCGACGCCGCCAAGCGCAGGTGTGTGTGTGTGTGTGTGTGTGTATGTGCGCGCGCGCGCGTTTGGGTTTGCTCTGGCACATTTCACATCAAACGACAGCTGCATGGATTGGATGCAGCAAAATTTTCTACGCATAAGCACTTTTGCACGCATCCTAGTGGGGATTTTGGCCCATAACATGCAGCCTTGCCTCTATCCCCAGGCTCTCAGGGGTACACTGGGATCGACCAGCCGCCCCCCGGCAGCGCGGGCAGGAGGCCGGGGCCCGCCGCCGCAGCTGCAGCTGCGCCCCGCGCCCCCGCGCGGCGCTCAAGCAGCGACAGCGCCCGACACGGCAGCGGGCACGAATCAGAGGGTCAGCAGCCGCCTGAGGGCGGAGGCGCGTGGGGCTGGAAATGGGCCAGTCGGCAGGAGCAGCCGCAGCCGCAGCCGCCGGCGCAGCAGGCACCCGCGCCCTCGCAGGATCCCCCTCGGTGGCGCCCGCTCCCCGCGGCGGCTCCACCCCCGCCACGGGCCGCGCCGCAGCCCCCCGCGGCCGCGCTCGGCCCGGAGGCGTTCCCCGAAGACGGCCAGGGCGAGCCGCGCGCCGAGTGCGCCAGCTGCGGCCGCAGGTTTGCGGCCGCCGCCTTGGAGCGCCACGCGAGGATATGTCAGAAGGTCTTCTGCACGAAGCGGCGCGCCTTCGACTCGTCTGAGGCTCGGATGGGCGGCCTGGACTGCGCCGCGGTGTCATCCCGCGCCCCGCCGGCCGGGCGCCGCGGCGGCGGCGGCGGCGCGAAGAGGGGCGCGGGGGCGGGCGGCGGCGGCGATGACAGGGCGATACCTTTGACGAGAGAGGCAGCGAAGCCCAAATGGGCGAAGCAGAGCGAGCAGCTGCGCGCCGCGATGCGGGCGGTCAAGGGCGGCGCGGGCGGTGGCGGCGGGTTCGGCGGCGGGGGGGCGGCTGTGGAGCAGGAGGAGGATGACAGGTGAGGCTGGGTTTCCAGCAGGCCGCCTTTCAGCGCCACTGTCAGCGCGGGACCAGGGCGGCGGCAGGCCAGGCGTACGCTTCACATTTGGAACAGGCATCAGCCGGGCATGATTCAGCGCGTTATTGATCCATTAAATCCAGTGGCTGTGCTAGTGCGCTCCTGTAGCTGCTTGCTGCCCTGCACTGCATGAAATGCCGCCGTGCATTCAGCGCTGCCCCTTTGAGCTCCGCCCTCGCCTCTTGATGCACCGCAGGGTGCCGTGCCCGCACTGCGGCCGCCGCTTCGCGCAGCTGACGGCCGAGCGCCATGTCCCCAAATGCAAAGACATCCAAGCCAAGCCCTCAGGCCTGAAAGCCGGCGGCGGGCGCTCGGCCCACATGCGCGCCAACGCGCCGGCGCCCCCGGCGCGCGGCCGCTTCTGACGCGGCCGCCGCGTGCAGGGGTTGTCATGCCGCGTCCGTCGCGTGTGCATCTCCTGTTGGGACGCGCTGTCTCCTCCCACCGGAAGGGACAGGATTGGCCCCGCAGGACCTGTGTCGCGGCCTTCGTCGCCAAGTAGAGCAGGGTGCCGAGGGCAAAGGAACGGCGGTTGAGTCCTGCGCGCGGCAGCGCCGTCGTACTGGGCACGTGATTGCATGGCCTGCTTGCTTGGACGCCATGCACGTCGCATGCATGCACCGGGCGACCTGGGCGCCGGAACCCAAGGCCTATGCGTAGCAAGATTCATTACAAAACTGGCAGCGCTTTGGAATTGCGGGCGTCCCCGGCGCTCGGAAATCGCTTCGGCAAGAACTCCAGGGGACACGTGTGGGGATTCACACACAGGCATTCCGGGCGGGCTGCACGCTGCGTTTTGCGCCGGGGATCCAGTTCGCACGCATCCACCTCTACGCTGAAGTCAGTTGTTTGAATAGCAACAGCGGCGGTTTGGCCTCCTGAATCATGACCGTGTGGGGTGTGTGATGCAGTCTGCGCCGTCGCAAATGTCAACGGTCATGCAGGCCGATCAGCTCTGCTGTCATTATGCGTTTCATTTTCGCATTTTCAAGCACTCATGGCTCGCCCGCTTCAAAGAAGTAACCATACGTCGCTCATGTACCGCTCGCGCACATGCACAGCAGCTTTGGCTGACGCCAAGGCATGGTCGCAAGTGCGTGGCAAGGAACACAGCAGGCGAGCTGCCAGACGGAGAAAGTGGGCGGGTGCTTCTGAACGCGGCAAAGTCAGAATGGCGGCAACAGCATGTGCGCAGGCAGCCCAAACAGGGACAACAGTGTCGCATGCGGTGGCTGCTGAGGCAGTGGCAGAAGTGATGGCAATGGCGTCTATCTGGCAGCCGCAACAGCAGCAGCAGCAGCAGCAGCAGCAGCAGCAGCAGCAGCAGCAGCAGCAGCAGCAGCAGCAGCAGCAGCAGCAGCAGCAGCAGCAGCAGCAGGAGGAGGAGGACAGACGCTCTGGTACATTGTGCTGCTACTGGTGAGATCGAGCTGCACATTTACAATGGTCCCCAGTTGCTGTTATGAGTTTCAGATAAGTGACCGTGAGACTGCATCTAAGCCTTGCTTGCTAAGGGTTTTATTATACTATCCAGAAATACCATGGCAGATTGTTTACAGCCTGGACAGTATCACGTGCGGCAGCTCCAAAGCATGCCGTGACAGCAGGCAGGTGGTGCATTTGCATGGGGCGAGCTTCATGTGTCGGGCACGCAGCATTGCAGGAATAACGCTTGCTTGCGCAAGGAGGTGCGGCGGTTTGCAGCCGCCTGCCCAGCGGTTGGGTGGACATGCTGCTGAGGACAAAGCTACATGGGACAGTGTATGAGCGGCCTATTGCAGCCAGAACAGCAGGGGGCTGTGCAGCACATGGGACGAAATAAATCGATGCTGTCAGGCAAGACGCTGTAATTTTCATAGACACAAGGCTGAGTGGGATCATTCATTCAGATGCTGCGCCTCTGCGGCGAGCTGCTACACCCGCCGTGCTTGCAAGCACGTCACAAAACGCAGTCGCCTGATTCACGGGCGATGCGTGGGGGCGGCAACACCCTTGGGCAGGCCCTGCTCACTCCCCTGGCCGGCAGACTTGGCGGCCGCGGCAGCAGCAACGGCGTTCTGCCGCTGCTGCTGCAACTGCTGCCACTGCTGCATCTGCGGCGTGGCGTCCATCATCTGCTGCGCCCACTGCTGCTGCTGCTGAAATCCACCCACGGCCTGCTGCGCCCACTGCTGCTGCTGCGCAAAAGTGGCCTGGTTCATGGCCGCCCCAGCATTGGCAGGAGGGCTGCTGGAGACTATGGTGGGGTTGGCGCCGTCAGTGAAGGCCGCGCCACCCTGGGCGTTAACGGTTGCAGCAGCAGCCTGCTCGCCCAGGCGGCGGAAGATCTGGCCGCGACCGCCCTCGTTGGCGACGGGGTTGCCAAAGTTGTCAAAGCTGGTGGTGGTGCCGCCGTTGAAGCCCACGCCGGCGTTGGTGAAGGTGGTCATGCCGCCAAAGTTGGTGATGGGGGCGCGGTCAGAGGGGGCAAAGCCGGCCGTGCGGCCGCCAAAAGCCATGATGTTGGCATCGGCAGAGGCGGCAGCTTGCTCGCCCAGGCGGCGGAAGATCTGGCCGCGGCCGCCCTCGTTGGCGACGGGGTTGCCAAAGTTGTCAAAGCTGGTGGTGGTGCCGCCGTTGAAGCCCACGCCGGCGTTGGTGAAGGTGGTCATGCCGCCAAAGTTGGCGATGGGGGCGCGATCAGAGGGGGCAAAGCCGGCCGTGCGGCCGCCAAAAGCCATGATGTTGGCATCGGCAGAGGCTGCGGCCTGCTCGCCCAAGTGGCGGAAGATCTGGCCGCGGCCGCCCTCGTTGGCGACGGGGTTGCCAAAGTTGTCAAAGCTGGTGGTGGTGCCGCCGTTGAAGCCCACGCCGGCGTTGGTGAAGGTGGTCATGCCGCCAAAGTTGGTGATGGGGGCGCGGTCAGAGGGGGCAAAGCCGGCCGTGCGGCCGCCAAAAGCCATGATGTTGGCGTTGGCAGAGGCAGCGGCCTGCTCGCCCAGGGCACGGCGGTCGTAGGCGGTCAGGCCGCCGGCCTTGAGGGACGCGCCCAGGGCCCCGGGGGCGAGGAGCAGGGCCAGGGCTGTGGGGCAAGGGTAGGAGGTAAAGGAGGAAATGTTGCAGTGAGGTCAACCAAAGCAGAGAGGGTTGGACAAGGGACAGTGCAGCAACGCAGACAGGCCTCCCAGCTCTGCTGTTGTAGTGCACGTTGGGCCTCTGCGGGAGCACTCACCGCAAGTGAGTGCCCAGTGGAGGCGAGCCATGGTGGTAACGATGAGTCTGTTGATGTACGATCAACGCTTTGTTTCCGCTCAAGTGGTGGTTGAGTAACCCTCCCTAACGCTGAGCTCGACGCTGATCTCCGGGTTCCGCTAGAGGCTAGATACGCTGGAGAGTTGGTAGTTGAGATGTGCAGGTAGTTTGTTTGAATAAATTTGCCGGGGAGCGCGATTCATTTGAAGGACGAGCCCGGCACAAGCCCAGCTGCTGCGCCGCAGCTGCGGACCCAGCCTGCCGCGAGGTGGGTGGCAGTGACTGGGTGACTGGTCCTGGTGACGGCATCCTGCGTGGTAGCTGAGCATGTCTTCTCCTGTATTATTTGATTGCTCATATGCTGCACAAGTTGCATGCCAACCCACAGCACCCTGCCGCAAGAACCCAACACCATGCTGCTGCCCAGCCACTGCAACTGACGGTGTTTTGGGGCCGGGAAGCAAACCACCTGCATGTTCATGGTGCCGACGTAGGTGGAGGTTCAGGCGCCTACATGACAGGCGCGCGCAGCTGGCGCGCACGTCGGCCAGCGATGGCAGCAGGTCAGGACGCGGGGCAGCAGGGAGTTCCGCAAACGAATGACGACGCATTGTTGCAGCGCGCGAGGCTGGCGCTTGTATGATCAAGCCTCATGGACACCTCCCCCTCATCGCCTGAAACACGTGGGCCAGACGCCGCCCGCCGGCAAGGCATCCATTGGCCAATATCCTCACTCCATCCTGGTACCAAGGGGTTTCCGAATTTGTGAAGATGCCCCTGGCCTGATACTATTTCGTCAGCATGTCCAGTTTGGCCAGCGCTGCAAGGGTATGACCGCTCCCAGCGCGCAAGAGAGTCCGCAGTTTCTGCAGGCAGGGGGCGCTGCCACGCTTGGCAAGCACCACCACCTCGACCACCGATTGCGCGTTTGGAGTTGTTTGAAATCAATTACCGGTACCTCGTCCTCTGTGAGCGGGAGTGAGCGGCAATCCGTGCCTTCAGGGCAGCGGCACAGCGAGTGGGCGTCGCGGGAGAGCGTGCGAGACACGTGCCGCCGCCCGTTGTGGAACGGCTGCTGCTGCGTCTGCCGCAGCAGCACGGCCTGCATCGCAGCCGCGACTCCCCCTGGCTTCCAGGCGTCAGTCTTCTGGCACCACATGCAGCGGGCAGCGGCACGCAGGGGTACCGAGTCGGTTGTTGGGGGTCGGCGCACGTCCCGGAAGCGGGTGGGACACAGGGGCTGGCGCGCAAGCCGTGCTCGCGCGAGCATGGGCAGGGAGGCGAGACCCGCAGTACGCACTAACCTCTGCTGCCCCTTGATCGCGCATGGGGCGTAGGACTGCACCGCAGCGCTGGAATCAGTTTCGGCAGCTTTTTGTCTACGCCTCTGTGGGCCCCGCACCGGCGCTCGAGTGGCACTGCAAGAGAGGCACACAGTGTTGAGCGTGCCAGCGCATGCGATACTCGCACCTTCCTAGCCCAGCGCACGCACCTCACCAAATGATGTAAGCCCAGGAACGCGCCCCTGATGCGATTACATCAGACTATTATGATGTTTTGGAGGCGGGCTAGGGTTGCGCCAGGCCGCTGCTCCTCTGACGGCGGCAGCGTCGAGTGCAGGGCTGCGTGGCTGCCGTGCGAGGCATGACGAGTCTCACCCACCGCAGCAATACTGCAGGTGACGCCCCGGTCCTCCTGCGTGGTGCATCGACGATGCGAAAACGGGGTCGAACTCATCTGTGTATTACCACACCCTCCTCGCGAGCACCATGTCCTGCGTTGGTGAAACTGGCCACGGCGATCTATTCGCGTCAGGCCAGGTAGCCTCTTGATTCGTGCCAGACTCCGTAGTTTTCAAATACATCGTTCGGCGTCTCACGCAGCTCGCACGGCTCCGCAGCCAGCGGTGCGAGTGACACCGAGCGTGCTGCCAGGCGGCGCGGGCGGGCACCGCGCCGCCGCGCGCGCCATGCGCTAGCGGCCGCGGCCGAGCAGCGCCATGCCCATTCTGGATGACTGCGCGCCCCGGGGGCCGGCCCATGACCGCGCCCTCGCCGCCGGCTGCGCGTTCGTGGTCGCGGCGGCGTCGCTGGCTGGGTTCTTCGCGCCCGCGCTGCTGCGGCAGCGCGGCGGCGGGCATTCGCAGCTCACGATCGTTGCCGCCGCGGCAACAGGGACCGGCGTTCTGCTGGGGGTCTCGCTGGTCCATGTCTTATCAGATGCAGAGGAGGCGCTGTCGTCGCCGTGCCTCCCGCGCGATTGGCTGGCCGCCTTCCCCAACGTGAGCGGTGTCACTGTGTGGCAGCAGCCGGCTCGGGACCCGACCCGGGGTTCGCGTGTGATTGGGGCTCGCCGGCCCTCCTGCACGCAGTGCGCACGTCGCTCGCGGGGCGTCCTGGCCGCGCCCCCTTCGCCACGGCCGTGGGTGGGGCGGCGGCCTGCCACCGCCCTTTGCGCCCCTCAGCAACAGCTGCTGCTGCTGCTGCTGCTGCTGCTGCTGCTGCTGCTGGCGCTGCTGTTGCGGCTGCTGCTGCTGCTGCTGCTGCTGCTGCTGCTGCTGCTACTGCCGCTGCCGCCGCTGCTGCTGCTGCTGCTGCTGCTGCTGCCGCTGCTGCTGCTGCTGCTGCTGCTGCTGCTGCTGCTGCTGCTGCCCCCGCCGCGCCGCCGCCCTCTACGCGGCTGCCAGCGCCCTGGCTGCCGGCAAGGGGGGCAGGCGCACCGCTGGTGCTGGCTGTCGTGTCGCGCGGACCATTATGGCTACCACCCGCCCCCGAGCGCCTTGTCGCCCTCACGCAAACAGCCTCTGCGGCCCCCGTATCCTGCCACCTCACACCCCCTCGCGGGATGCCACCTGATGACAGCAGCCCCCGCACCTCGCCCCGTGCCGCCGACGCGCTGCGCCGCAGTGGGGCACTTTGATTTGCGCCGCCACGATCATGCTGATGGTGGTGCTGGAGTATGTCCTGCAGGTGGGTTTTGCGTGTGCATGTCATGCATATAGGTTGTACTTTACATGGACCCGCCAGCCCGCGGAAACAGAGCAGTCGAGAGGGCGCGGGGCGGCCCCGTCGCAGGCGCCGCGGTGCGCCGCTCGCAGAGGCCCACGGCCTTTACTTAGCAACTTTGCCGCGCGCGCGCGCCCGCCGGCGCGGTCCTTGCTTCAAGTCGCCGTTCGACCCTTCCCCTCTCCTCTGCCGCTGCTGCTGCGGCGCCACTCACACTGTTTCCCCAGGGCATGTTTGAGCGGAAGTTCCAACCACAAGGGGAGACTGCCTGCGGGGCCGCCGCATTCGCGCCCCGCCCGGCGTCGCGCGACGGCCTGCCCCTGTCCGCGCAGTGTAACGCATCACTGGCATTCCTCAGCCCCCTGCCGCATGGCGGCGACGGGGGCGGGGGCGGCGGCGGCGGGGGCGGCATCGCCGTCGTCCCCGGCGCCGCCGGCGTCCGCCGTGCGCTAGGGGTGCAGGAGCCGCCGCTGCCCGCAGCGGCGCCACGGCCGACGTCCCGACGCAACGGCGGCGCGGCGGCGGCGGCGACGCTGGCGGCGGCGGCAGATGCGGGCAACTTTAAGTCCTTTGGCAGCGGGCGGGTGCTGGAACTGACGCCGTCCTCATCAGGGGCGCGCGGCTCTGGCGGCAGCGCCAGCGCCAGTGGCAGCGCCAGCGGCAGCGCCGCTGGCAGCAGCGGCGGCGGCGGCGGCAGCTATGGTAGCCGCGGCAGCGAGCTATCGCGCCAAGTCGCGATCGAGCTCGGTCTCCCCGACCCCGGTTCTCGCGGCACCGGAAGCACGGCGGGCGGCGTCAGCCAGATCAGCTCGAGGGGGCTGGCGGAGGAAGCCGAGCGGGCGCTCAGGCTGGGGGCCGTGATCTTCGTGCAGGTGGGGCCGTGGTTGAGTGCGACCGCGCTGCTTGAGGGCCACTGCGCCGTCTCTCCGCGAGCGCGCGGACGCGCGCGTGCGCCGACGCACACGCCCACCGTGTGGATGCACTGGCGCACGCAAGCGTGCACGCATGGGCTTGCGATTGCGTCCGGCCAGGCGGGGCGCAGCGGCGCGGCGTGGGGGACCCTTGCATCGCAAGACCCAACATGTTGGCCACCCCGCCCC